TAAACCTATTGTTTCAGGCTCTTTGCTTTGCATTCAGTTCAGTTTGCAGTACATTCAGATTGAAATACAATAATGAATCCACTCCGTCTAAACTCGACACCTTAATGGAGCGTTCATTATTTCACTTCAAATGAAAAAAGCTGAAGAAAACAGGCTGACATAAAATGTAACTGTCCAAACAAACACTGGCCTAGATCTATAATGCACAGATATCATTGTATGAAAAAAAAAGCTTCAGTTCCCTTAACCTAGAACATCTGTCACACTTAATATTCTCACAGCTTCAGCTTTTCACTCAAAACATAATTAAATGACCCGTGGCCTAAATACCAAAAACTAGGCTCCTTGTGTTATTGAATATAGTTTTGAAGTACAGAAGTATAATAATAAAACCTTAGGTGTGGTAAGTTGAAGGGAAGATTGCAGTTTTAATGAGGTAAGTACATTTGTACTTACATGTACCTTCCTTGTGCGGCTCAAATAAGTTGCAGTTTTTTAAATTTATTCTAGCCAGTCCAGCTTGGCTATTATAGAGACCTATAATTATGAGAATTTCAAAATTATGTTAAAATGTATGTACACAAGCCTAGTGTGGGCTCCTTTGAAATTCTTAGTAGATACTGGCGCATGCACTAGTCATACATGGTACTACACACATTCTCTCTCTCTCTTCTACGGCAGCCTATCCAGTTCAACCCAGACCATCGCCCTCTGCTGGCTGTGGATGTTGGTACGTAAAGCAGCCAGCAGCTCATCAGTGCAGCTCCAGGTGTTGGGCTCCAGGGTGTAGTGAAGCATGGGCAGTGTCTCCAGCTGCAGCTCCTCGGCGTGGCACAGCTCCTCCATCACACTGTCCTCCCCACAACGTGGAAAAAACTTTCTGTTTCAAGTGATGGATAAATAATCACAGAGTATCTAAGACATGACTTTTCCAAATATATGTATTTCAAGGTAAGAAATAATCACTCTAGAGAAGTTAAACACTCCTTACTCCACAAAGTGGATTGCCATTAAATACATACAAAGCTTGGATAAAGTACAGTAGTGCTGCTATGGTGAGACCAGAACTTACTGTAGCACTGAACTGAAAACTGCCTGTGTGTGCACTTACCTCAGCTTCTTGTGTTTTTTGTTCTTGGGGCGAATATGGATGACGATGGGGTAAATCCCAAGTCTCAATAAGCCTTCAACACTGGACAAGCCCAGCTCGAGCAGGCAGTGTTTATCCTGAGACAAAGAGATGGCATCTGTTTATCTACAGCTCGTTTAAGGTCCCAACACACCATTTCCATCAGGTTGGGTCAGGACTTTGCCTGGGGCATTGCAAAACTCGCTGTGTTTGGTTTTCTACAAACGTGGTGCCTTCCATTATGACCAAACATCTCTGTATGTATGCTGTCATACAACAAGCCATCCTTGTTTAGTCTTTTTTAAATCATGCTCTCATGAACTTTAACATTTAACATGCTAACTGAGGCCAGGTGAGTCTGAGATTGAGCACCTGGGATTTAAAATTTTTTTTTGCAGTTTTTCTGATCAGACCTTGGGACGACTGTGGTTTTGTCTTAACAGAGTTCAATCTGCACACTTGCATGTTCAGGAGCAGCAAACTGCCAAAACATCTCCTTTTCTCCTTTTATGGAGGTGCTCACACTTGCTGATGATCAATTAATCAAGTGGATTTGATTAGCAGCTCCTGGCTGCTCCTTACCGTCTTAATTTCTCTAAATTTCCTCTTAATTCTTAATTATGGAAGCAGTAAGGGTGAACCTAGTTTTTTAAAGGATTTCAGAGTCCTGTGGAAATTTCTCCCCGCGATTGTCGGTAATTGACTTTTATTGGTTACTTAATCTTCCTAAAAACAGCATTCTTCATTCTCCTTGAGGAAGACATTTAGTAGGATGGTTGTAAAGCAAAATGTGGTGACATTTTTGCATTTTCGTCAGGCAAAGCAAAAGCTTCTTTTTGAAAACCACACCCCCAGAAAACACCGCTGACCTTACCTGGCTGATGACATCCTGTATTGACTGCAGCCTTATGCCAAGGGCCTTCTCTGGACTGCAAGAATCCAACAAGAATATTCTCTTGTCTTGTCTCTCTGAAGCTGGAATGGGCTCTGAAAATATTTAATGTATGATCAACAAATCAGCACCAAACTTTGTGCACTGTTGGGTCACTGTGAGTGGATAGGTCTGTGTGTTGCACAGATACCTGGCTGGCAGGTGTTAAACTTTAATCCAGACTGTGCTGGTTGCAGGAGCTTCTCTATCAGACCACGGGACAGCAGAGACGGTGAGAAGATGACTGGCCGCTTGGTCTGAACCTGCACTGACTGTACTAAACTGTAAGGGATTAAGTGGTCCTCATGGCCTGACATGGCAAAAACAAGTACAAATACATCAACACAAAGTGTGCACATACACAAACAATTCATTTATGACACAAACATGCTATTTCATTGAGGGAGCGACAGGGCTTCAACTTACGTTTGCTGAGCGTGTAAAGGACCTGTTGTGTGGAACCAATCCCACGGCAGTTTGGATCCACCGCTTTGACCAATCGTACACGGCCTGATGTTTTCTTTAAGAACTACGCAAAGAAAAATATACATCTTCCAATGAGGAAACGGGCAAAAACTGTAATATGAGGCACCACAGCCGTTGTGCATGCTGATCATGTAATTTAAATGTGCATCAATTTACCATCTTCTTCTTAGAGTCCTTTTGCTCCACTGACATTTTTCGTAACCTTATGAGTAACAACTGTTGAGCCCTGAAAGAGAAGTCGATATATTCTTAGTTATTTACACTAGTCACACAGCTATTTTGTTATCAATCTAAATTTATTCGCCAGTTTTGTAAATATATCTACCTTCTCTTATATGTACTTGAACTAAATAACACTGGCCTTGTGGAACTTTCAGGACTGAATTGTGCCTTTACAATAATAATAAAGCAAAGTCACGTCAAAGTCTGACTGACATACCGGTTGTAGTTGGGCATGGATCCTGTCTGCAAATGCTTGGCTGTGCTCGGGTCCACCAGGGAGCAGCGCCATTGGTATTTTCCATTGTACCTTGTATCTGTGACATGTATAATGTCATCACAAGAAACACCCAAAGATGGCGGGTCACCATGAGGCTCCATGCTGAGATTAACACGCACATAGAAAGAGTCGGGACCCAAAAAAGTTGGCGATGAAACCTGCGAGGACAGGTTTGAGTACCCTGAGGATGAGAAAGCATGAGAGGGGGCACCTTAGCGTCACCTTTCTGCACCACGAGGGAAGATTTCAAGAGCAGACTGACCGGCCTCATATGAATTTTTCAAACCTCTGAAGTAACAGACTCACCCTCTGGGTTGCTCTGGAATTTAAGTGTTGACGGCTCGGTCCACCACTGCAGAGAAAAGTGGGCCACCTCAGCAGTGCACTGACTCAGCAGCACACTTCCCCCACCAAACAGGACTTGCTCCAGCTAAAAACAACAGGACAAAAACTGCATGTCATTCTACAGCCTCATTTTCATAAAAGCAAAGGCACACACTTGTCCTTGTGGGACACGTATTTCCACATGCACACATTAAAAGTGCTCATATATGATTTAATCGCATATGCAGACGCCCACCTCCAGCAGCTCGCTGCCCTCCTTCAGTCCACATTGTTCAGCTGGGGAACCTGCTCTCACATGGCTGACAAATATCCCCGTTTGGCTTCCTCCAATGATGGTGATGTCATCGGCAAGACTTGGTCTCCTGTGCTTTGGAGAGGTTGGGGGACTTGGAGATGGTGAGCAGTGTAGGTTCCTGAGAGATGGCAGAAGACCGTCAGAAGCAGTAAGGATGAAATTACATAACACTAGTCTGTGACGGCATTCACTTTGCTTTGGTGCCACTTTTGTGCTCTTTACATTATGTTGTACACTATGACAGAAAATTGCACTTATATAATATTAATCACATTCAAAACTGTTTACATTTTTATCATACAGTAATTATGTAATGAACTCCATTTTTTAATACCAAAAAGATAATAATAATAATAATAATGATAATAATAATCCGCCAGGAGAAAATAAAATGAAGGACAAACCAGATACATTTTAAAGACATCTAAACATTTAAACCATGAAGTTTTTTTCTTTAATTGTTTAAATTTGAAATTTTTACTTCATGTGCTGGAAAGATTTTTTCTTTTGAAGCTGTAGATTGACATCTGCTCTTCCTTTTTTTTTTTCTTAGCTCTGTTGGTTTGTTCTCGCCTGTTTGTTTACAATAAATAAAGTTATTTTTGAGTTGTGTAATGGTCTGTGGCCTAATACCCACAACGTACCTCTGACAAAAGAAATGTTAATGCTCTTCTATACTAATGTTAATGTTAGGACCTTTTAGGACCATCATTCTCACCTACGAAGATTAAGAGATTGCACTGCAGAAATTAATATTACTTGTAATGAAGGAGGAAAAATGACAGTTTAACAGAGCTTTTACTGGTTTCAGTGACAGGCATCAAAGCTGTAAGTTTGTACCTGGGCACTTTGGGACTGGGCTGCTGTGCAGAGACTATGGGCAGGTTGACCAGGTCAGGGGGGAAAAAATGAGACTGCAAGGAGCTCCACGAATCTGACAAAGAAGGCTCACTCTGCTCACCTGAAAACACCAGAGAGCCTTTTAATGTACACTTACATTTTTGTTATTATTAGATTGAACATGATTAATCACCAACACATTGATTAAAAAAAATGGTTGTAAATGCAAAGAGTCAAATGTACCTGGAATGTTGTCATTCTCATCACTGCCCCATGAATCCAAGTCAAACCTTTGTGGAAGCAAAACGAGGAAAATGGTAATCAACGTGAGAATAACGGGGAAAATTGCAGGGTGAAAAATATATGAACTCACTCTGTGTTGACTCGACGGTTGATGGAGTTCATGCAAGGAGGAAAGGGGAATGTGGAAAGGCGGTTTATTTCCTTTTCATTGGTTTCTGTCTGAGGGTGAGGAGGTAAACATAAAGATGCAGATCTTTAGAATCTTATTTTTATTATTTTTATTAAGAGCAGGGCTTTGATACTCACTGACAGCAAGAGGTTCTCCTCTGAGTTTGAACCAGAATCTGTGAATCAGCAGAAAAACACCGTTTACATTTGTGATGAAATCCCCCACCGACCTTCCTACTTTGTGTAAATGAAAAGTACAAAAGCAAAAGGATTGCACAAAGAAACACTAGATAAGCATCATCCAGCTGCCAGTGTGGTTGACTTACCCTCTGAGTTTTCATTGGCTGGGCCACTAGAGGGCACCTGTGACACAGAAAAGATGCTCAACAGAGTATGAGCTCGCAGATAATGAGATGTAAGGTACAGGCACGAACATGCAAAGAGTTGCACAAGAACGCATTGCAACATTTCCTGCTCATAATAGGACCCCTTGCCTTGTCTAGCTGCAATGAAATGTTTCAGTCAGAAAGATACATTCTCTGCATAGCACACAAACAGCATGAAAAAACAAGTTTTTATCCTGTGGGAATTCCTATGATATAAAATTAAGTGGTGATTACACAGCAGTTAGGTCAGTAACACCTGATTCGATTCCCTCTGATCTTAATTTAATCAAACAGGGCAGTTGTGATTCTGTTGTTATTGTCATTCTCATCATAATAACTAAACTACTGGTATTAACCGCAGCACTGACCTTTCTTAGTAACAGATTGGTTCTTCTCGGCTGCGGGCTCAGATCCAGGCCGGGGGAACAGCAGGGGCCAAAGCACTGTTCCTCACTACACAGAGACAGGTGGGACTGGGGGGCAGAGATGGAGGACAACATTTGCATTAAAAAGTTTCTGTAGAAGGCAGGGGAAGGTGAGCGCTGCCCTCATGACTTAGTGTTTGAACTCACACAGTGCAGGCAGGAGCTGTTTGGCTCCATTTTCTCCTGGCTCCTCTCCCTCTCTTTGTCCAGCTCTCTCTGCTGCTGCTCCAGGTTGGCCTGCAGCTCAGCAATGCGTTTACGCAGACGGTTCTTATCCAGCAGACAGTCGGTGTACTCAAGCTGCAGGCTGTCTCGACTGCGCAGGGCCTTGAGATGAGAGGACAGAAGTGCAGAAAGTGAATAGGTTGGTGATGTGCGAGAATAAGCCAGAGCAGCTAAAGTGACTGATGAACTCTTTGTGGTTAGACAGTGTGCTCTCACTAACCTGGTCTCTCTCCTTTTCCAGCTCCATGATTTGGTTGAAATAGGACACACTCCTCTTCTGCTCTGTCTCCCAGTCCAGCTGGAGAGTCCTCACCTTCAGCTGTAGCTGTTCGCACTGAGACTCCAACTGCAAGTACAGTCCAGAAAAGAAAGTATCATGAAGGAAAAGGTCATTATAATGTTATAATGTATTATATAATATGATGGCAGACAACCTCTCACCTTGTCCCTTTGCTCTTCAGTGTTTTGGAGCTCGCTCTGTAGTTTGGTGATGATATCGCAGAACTCCTGTCTCTGCTCGGCAGCCTCCCTGCGGTCCTGCTTCAGGATATCCATCAGAGCCTGAGGTGAACCAAAACAAAATGAACACAGATAAAAAAAAATACAACAAAGAATGATAACAGCTTAAAAAACATGATTTCAGATGATACACAATATGCAATCAAAAACATACAACGACTCCAGTGGGTGGGATCGAGTTCTTCATCTGACTTCCTGTAGTCTCAGTTTTCTTAGGCAGGTTTTCTGGTAGAGCAGGTGTAGAACCAGTTACAGCTTTAGAGGCATCAGGGGCAGCACTTGTTTTTTTCTCTCCTGCTGCCAGCCTGGACTTAAGCTCCTCTACCTGCATGTATGGAGAACAAGCAAATAATAAGCATATCAATAACCTGCTAGTGTGGGACTCTTTTATATTTTAATATCAGGAGCTAATATCAGCTGCTCCTTTATTGACAGTGGGTTACCACGACAAATGTTTTTTCCCCTGATATTGAACCAGGGATCTTTTGTTTTTCAGGCAAATATGTGAACAATAACACAAAGGTCCCACTGATAGCAGTATCTCTAAGTCTACAAATATTATCCATTAAGGGGACTTGTTACACTCGTAATCCACAACCAGTTCAAAAGGTGAGACCCAAGGAAAGTCACAAAGAAGACAAAATGAATATAATGCAAGATGATATTGGCAGTGCAAAGGTGGAGGTGTGTATATGAGGCAGGGTGATTGGCTATTTAAAAACGAGTATCAAGAACGATAATGTGGGGCATCTAGCCACGAAGGATGGAAAACAGGAAGGGAAATAGATAACGGTGTGACCTAAGTGAGAATTAAAAAAATTAAAAAGGGAATGATGTCACTGAAATGTTTTAACCACTTGGTTCTTAAAATAGTCGTTTCTGCTTTTAGGTCAGCATGATGTCGGTCAAAGCGGGCATCCCTAATATGGTCACACAGATCAGGCTGGGAGCACTGAAGCCCCACCCACCGCTAAACAAACTCTGTGTTTACGAGGGACAGCAAACAGAAGTAAAGTGGCTTAAATGGTGTGTGGCCTTCAAAGGAGAGAAACCTTAAATGGCTTGTTTTAGACAGTAGACAGCAGCCGCTGGCAAAAAGATCCCACTTTGAGATAAGAATGACTTTCAGTAAACAGCTGGAAATGAGCTTAAAGCTTTAAGGTGGAACATTTAAATGCAAAAACCAAAGAGAATTCCACAAGTTGCTTCTTTCAGAGTTTACGTTTCTGTGAAAATCTTTCAGTAATCTGAATTCAGAGGCTGGGACTCGTGATAAGGTGTCAACTGGTCCACTGTGGCTCTTCAGAAGATGACAGGAAGGGCTATAGGGTGGGTGGACCTCTCTTGGTTTTGCCATTTTGGACTTAAAATAATAAGAAAAAACCCAGGGCTAAATAATGATGATTTCAAACTATTCTAATAAAAATATAGGATTTTAAAGATCATAGATAGACTGTAGATCATACACTGACTTGCAGCTATTAATATCGCCTTATTTTTACAGCCAGCTGGCTCATTCCTCAGTGGTTCTGTCAACATGTTGTAACAAATCCTGGGGTGGCTGATAACATCTGCCCTGCTGGCTCGAGCCGCTTCATTTATCTCTTTTGCTGCGTGCCATCCAAAGAAGTTTCGTTGCCTCAGGTGCTTTTATTTGTTCCCTTTTTTATGCCTTCAGACACCACATAACTTCCGAGAACAGCGCTTGTTTCTGTTATATGCATGGCAGCAAGAGGTATCGAAGTCGTATCAAAGCAAACAAAGCTCTTTCTGGCTGACATCGAGCACCTAAAACAGCAGCTTAAAAGTGAAATCAAACAGATGCAAAATGCAAGAGAACTAACATTAATATAAAAATATATTTTTCTTTCACCCAAACCAACTGACCTGACTCAGCAGTTCTCTCTCTCTGGTTGAGGCTTTGCCTTGATCCTCCAAGGCTCTGGAGTACTTCACAGCCTGCTCCAGGTGTCGGTCTTTCAGCTTTCCCAGCTCTCGACTGGCTAACTCCCAGTCTTGACGCAGCCTTGAGATCAAAAACCATCCAGATCAAACATTTTCACTTTTTGTTACCAACTCGTTTTTCTATAAATGTAAAGATGAATTTTCGTGGCTCAACAATTTTAGATAACTCTGGAATTAGCAGAGGTGAAGATGTTGAGATTTGAATTTGGAGTGAGCAGGATGGACAAGATTAGAAATGAACATCAGGTGGACAGACCAGATTAAGTGGTGCAAAGACAAAGTCACAGGCTGGAGGACAAGAGGAAGTCCACAGAGGAAGCTCATAGATGTAGTGGAGGAAGACTCGTGGAGAGATGGTGTTTCAGAGGAAGATGCCACCACAACCAACATGTTTATTTTTTTTGTTTTTCTCAGTGTTTAAAATGATTTCTGCAGAATGAGAGTAAAACAGTTTGAAGAAAGTAACATGAAATGTTCTTAAAAGTGTTTTTTTTATTGTTCAAAAGTTGTTTAATGACAGAGAAACACATTCTGGAGCCAACGCTGTCGCAGCACATCAGGTTTCTTCTCACTGGGATATAAAGTAGAGGGAAAGTAGGCGGGAACAATGGTGCCCTGACCCCTGTAGCTCTGACAGCCTTTGTGGATTATTAATGTCACCTTGTAAATTCACCCCATGTGAATTTACAGGTTTCTATGAGATATTTGATTCTCTGACAGAAAAGCTTTAAAGGAAGAAACTGGAAACTAGAAAAGCCCAAACCTTTCCAGCTGTAGTTTGTCGTGGCGTAACTCCTGAGCTTTACGCTCAGCGCGGCTTCGCTCCTCCTCCGCCATCCGGCAGCGCTGAGACAGGCGCCGTTCGCACATGCGGCTGTTTCGAAGCTGCTCCCTCAGTTTACGCACCTCCAGCAGCAGAAACTGAGTCAAACCCTCTGGACCTTCCTCATCTGCGTAGAAAGAGAATCACACGTGGAGGTCATTATCATGGAAGGAGGGTATTGTGAATCAATGGAAATTGTAAACTGAATTGTGAGCCAGAGAAACTGGCTTTAATGTGTGGGGAGAAAGGACAAATACATGTTTATGTGTTGTGGCTGTCAGTAAATGGCACGCAAGAGAACATTAATGCCAAATGTGCAAATGTGTTCACTCTTTTCTCTGCTCTTGGGCAACATGATAGCTTTGTAAAATAATCATATGCTCACTTTCAAAGAAAGCGCTTATGTTCCAGTTATTTGTTAACCATTTCTGTTCGTCAGCAATGAAAGTAAATTAGATGTGTTTGCGGATAAGATTCACATACGGTCCCTTTTAAGTTTAAATGTCTTGGCTTTAATTTGGTTGTCAGTAAAGAAAACACTCGATCTCACTTTGGGCTAGGCTAGTTTTTGCAGTCCAGAGCTGAATTATGTGAAAATGAGTGTATTCAAACATCAATGTTATTATCCTGTCATAGCACCACTGTGAGAACCCCTATGACAGCTGGGATAGGTTCCTGGCTGCCATAGGGGTTAGATGTAAGGTACATCTGTCTGTCACAGGGCTAACAGAGAGAGATAGACAACCATTAAAGTGCAAAGTCACAGTTTAGAATCATCATTCAGCCCAATGTGCATGTTTTTGGACTGTGGGAGAAACTCAGAGTACCCATGCATCACGGGTAGAACATAAGTGGGTTAACACTTGGGACTGAATGACTGTGACGTGACAGACTAACCATTGTACTGCCTAAGTATAAACCTTAAATCCTTAAATGTAATCATCAAAATACTTTAGTAGTCTTCACAAACACTCAGTTGTTTTTAAAATTTATAGTGAATTAAGCTAAAATGCATTAAAAAAACAGACCCACAGTAATTTGAGTGTATAAGTTCATCATGAAATCTACAATATCCCCATACATGGAACATTTTCCATGTCACGTAAATGCTTTGGGGGATTTCTCTTAAGCCTGAGTTACTTTAACTTTAAAGTTTTAATTTAAGGTTAATTGATGGTTAAGTCCCCCTGCTATGCCATCCTTCTTTCTATCCACAAAAAAATCTCTGCTTGCCTAGTATGAGGGAGCATCGGTGTGTTGGCTGTTGCCCGGTCAGCTGTGTATACTGCTCTGGATGGTAAAACTCCAGTGACTCCATGAAGGCCTGAAGACCTCGCTGGCCCTGACCGCGCAGGATGTCCAGCAAACGGCCTTTTTGTGACAAATAGGGAACAGAAAACATAAGGTGAGTAACACTGCAAGTGTGGAATAATTTACTTTCCGTTGCATGACATTATACAGTGACAATGCTGAAAGATAGGTGCAATGACAAAAGGTCAGGTTAGGGTAAAGCAGCACGTTTAACTAACAGATTAAAGAGTGTCAGCACAAGAATGCTACCTCTTTGATGTATGTGTCATTACCTCTGTAGTTACTTGCTGTTGGTATTTCAAACACGACGATGATAAAAGACTGAAACAACAAAATTCTCCGGGGGTTGGACCAGGTGTTTGCCTTCAGTGTCTCTTCATTTACAACATACCTTTCATCTTTATCCTCATCCTTCTCTCTGCCTGCCTCGACTTAGCAATGAAGTTCCTGCTCTTTTCTCTCACTGGAGCATTTATTCAGTTCTCCTGTTTCTGACTGATGAACTGTTAGACAAACATTCACATCTAATGTTTATCCTCTTGAAGTTTCACCAAAGAACCCACTTCTTGTAGTCTTTTAAGACTGCAGCTCAGCGTCAAATGAGTAATCACGTGTTTGCTTAAATTTCAGTGCTCTGACACCATTGAAACGATGCTGAAGCACAGATGTCACTTTGACTCTAAAGAAAACCTGAAAATGACAATTTATGAATCATTTCCTCAAGGCGTCGCTCGCACTGAGACTTTAAATGTGTTTATTTATATTTCAGTTACAATCATTTAACGGGCCAAATGAGCAGGCCAAATTCTCTGAGCAACGGAGAAAGGCCCAGTGTTATGTTACACTCCCATGAACTGTAGTAGACCATTGCTGGTTGTGACTAAAGCTTGGATTACTGCACTTTCAGCTGTGGCAGTACAAGTCTGTACAAGCGGATTAAGAAAGAAAACTATAGGAAGTGTGGGATGTGACCCATATCTTGTTATTGGGCGTCGCACTGACTGCGGAGGATGTACGCTGATGGTTTTGCTGGGTGAGTGCACTGTTGAAAGCTACAGCACTTCTGAACCCCTGTGGTATGGCATGTTCGTATCGTTCTGAAGCACCATCTTTTCCTCATGTCTCTATAAATCTCTAGGTGCTGATCACTGATTTGACTTTTCAGCCGAGCTCTTCTTCCTCTCACCAGCTTTGCTGATGCGCAGGGGGTACTGCGTGGAGTTGAGCACCTCATCTTCATCCTGCTCGTCGATGACCTTGCACTGGCGCAGGTACGGCGTGAGTTTTGCCGGGTTGAGGATCCGCGTGAGCTTGTGCCGTACTCCCTCCACGCGGTCCCACAGCTCCTCGCAGCGCTCCTCTGACCACGAGGGAGAAGCTTGTGATTCCTCCTGAGCGATGTCGTCGTCCTCCTCCATCCAGACGGTGACACCTGCGCACGACCAAAAAACGTATCAGTTCAGCAAAGAGCCTGGTCTGGAAAGATAAAACAATGTCTTTTTCCATTTACCGAAAATATGCTTGTTGCCTCGGGCCTTGCTCATGTCCCACTTCAACTTTACGAGCCAGACATGCCCTATGTCCACTCCCAGACTAAATATTTTCCCAAGCAGAATTCCTTTGTGAATTTGTTTTTGTCTGACCCCTCTTATCTGAATTCCTTCAAACATCAAAGTAGGTCAAACATTGTGTCATTTATGCGCTTTGTAAACAGTAACTATCTGTTTTTAACAGATAATAATAACAAAAAAAAATTGAGAGCAAGTTTAATATAATTTCATGCCATAATTCGCTGTGCCTAACACTGAAAGGCTATAAATCCTGGTAGGATTACTGGATTAATCTGCTGCATAGCGAGGAAATGAAATGGGGCTCCTTTACTTAGAAGAGTCTACTCACTACAAAACAGCCTGACAGGTCTGTTGTGGAACTGAGTCTCCAAAAAAAGACTAAAGAGACAAAGAGAAACTGATTTGATGAAGTAAGTGAACAGGAACTTCAATATAACAAATCAGAAGTAGTTAAATTGTTGTAGAGCAAAGGGTCTGCTGTTGAAGAAGCAGGGAGGACTCCGAATCATGGGCTCAGAGGACAGGAATGCAAAGATAGGTGTGACTCATATTGCACATCAACAAACACTCCAGGGGACCACAGACAAAAGCTTTCTCAGCCTGATTCACTTCACGAGACAAGGGGAGAAAGTGAATAGAAACCGTCACACAGGATTCCTCCATATTAAAAAAGAGACAACATAAAGTGCGGTGATTCAGTTATCAGTGAACTATAAAGTACGAAAATATACCAAAAGCTGCATGGATCGCAGACATATGTCATTTTTGTTGGGGGGCAAATATAGTGGGGTTTATATTTCCAGGAAGGCAAACAAACTGATCCATTACAAAAAAAGAGAGATTATTTTTCCCATATTGATGCCTGAGTGATAATGGGAGTTCCTTCCACTCTGTGCAGGTGATCAAAGCAGTCTGAGGTAACAGGCAGGTTGAGGCAGGCTTGGCTGATCTGTTTTCATGGGATTACGAAGCAACTCCTTACACTCAAGGAAAACAAATACTGGATAGTCATTAGCTGTAGGAAGCAGTTCATCTGCACTGCTAACCAAAGACCTGTTTTATATTCAGAGTAAATAAAAACAGCGGCACACAGTAACACCGATAAGATAAAATTAAGTATCGTTTGGTTCAATGAGAAGATTATGCTTGAAACCTGTTTATCACAGGGTTCATCTCCACATCTTTCAGTAAATTTCACTTATTGTTTGTTTTGGAAATGCGATACACCCCCACACCTTCTGTAAAGTGCAAAAGTCTTGAGTCAACCCTGATTTTTTATATTTTGCAAGGAGTCAGACTTTCCTGTAAATATAAAAAGCAGTCTTGATCAATATTTCTTGAAGCTTTCTGAAGCTTTTTCAAAGTTTTTCTTTCTTTCTTTGGCCGCTTTTCCTACTTGTTTTCAGTCCAGTGTTTGTACCTGACAAGTTTCAGGGGAATATTTTTTTTCGTTTGTTAAGCTGCTTAACACTGACCTTCGAAGCATTCAGGCTAACTCGAGGGATGAAACAGTGTTTGTTGTGTCTGCAGATAAAAGAAAATTCGGCAAAGAGCCAATTTAAAGTTGTATCTTGAGGCACTTTTTTACTAGAAGCATGTCCCACATCATTTGTTCCCATTTGTTTTTTGAATCTATGGAAAATGTCTAAGACAAAAAGACAACACAGTCTGACAGCCAAGTAGTAGTACTCTAAAGAGCTCGGCAGTATGTGCTGTGTGTGGTGTGCAGTGTGTCCATAAAAAACTGCAGAAGCAGATAAAAAAAGAAAAACTGGCAGGCCTACAAAACCATTTAAAGCAGATGAACAGCACCTGGAAGTCCTGTTGTTAAAAGTCCCGACACAGGACCTGAAAGATGCAACTGGCCCTTCCGTTGCTCCATGGACTGTAACAGACCGCTGAAGCCTAACCAAAAATGATCTCAGTAGAAGGCTTACTGTAACAAAGTCATTCTTAATGAAGGGGAATAAAGGCCGAGGTAGCCAAATTACAGAAGAACTGCAATGAAAGCAGGTCTTATGAAGTGATGTATCCAAGTTAGAAATTTTTGGCTAATCGTCTGTAAGTTTGGAGAAGATCAGGAAAGAGGTACAAAAGTGAGTTTATAAATCTATCAGTAAACCACGGTGGAGACTCTGTCAGTCAGTGGTGATCCTCCCTGAATTGATAGAATTATGAATGCAGAATAGTGGAGTACTATCTGGAAGCATTTGATTAGAAACAATTTCATTTTTTGGCGACAATAAATGATGCCAAACAGACTGCCAATACAGTACAAGTGTAAATGGATAGAAAAACACACTGTTGAGTCTGGATTAGAATTATTCCTGAAGAACTTAAAGAAATGTCAAAAAATCTGACTAAAAAATTAAAGGTGGTCATAACAAATATTGACTTTCAAGTATGTTATAATTACACAGACTCCGTTTTTGCCTTATAGTGTATTTCCATTTATGTTTGCATATTTTTTAAACTGCTGTAACCATTTTCAGTTTTCCGATTAAAACATAAAGCAATAAGGAGTGACTCTGTCGGACTTTGGGAAAACCCCTAGTTTGTATTTGAAATGAGTAAAAATATACTAGAAGTGTTCATAAATCACCATGGTCTGAAATTATTTTGTTGCAAGAAACTGGCCTTAAAAAAAATCAAAAATAAATAAATAAATAATGAGAATAATAAACTTGCAGAGACTGTCACTGCAGCTGTTACTACTTCAGCAGTTGTTATGCTTGTTTACAGAAATCAGACATAAAAGCGTACCACTGATAATAACCCAGTAACAGGAGCACACTCCTGCTGCCCGGTAACACCTGTTTATTCGGTTAATGATTGCTAGAAAAGTCTGGTAACCTGTTACTAGTAACACCGTTCAAGCTAATCAAGCTAAAAATTACGCTAAACAGCGACTAAAAATCTGTTACTTTAATCTTAAATGTTGACTTACCACTCATAATTTTCTCCTGTGAATCTGAGTCCCAGTAAACCGCACTGCGATCCAGTCTTTACATCCCAGTCAGGTCCACAAACACAGCCGAGGAGCGCACGATACACGCTCGCACACCTTTGCGCACTCTGCTCCAGTTCCTCCACCCTCAACCACAACATCCAATTGTCAGGCAAGAGGAAGGAGGGAAAAGTCCCACTCCTCTCCAAATCACGGCGGATTTCCTTATCGGGACTTATGATGTCAGTGTAGCAGAGGCCGGAGGCACTAGATGGCGCTTTCAACCAATGCTCGTCCACACACACACACACACACACACACACACACACACACACACACACACACACACACACACACACAC